TGCCTGTTTACCATTGTACTTGGGAAACAGCTAACTTGCATTCTGGATTTCAGTGGCTCACAGATGAAGTTTTGCTGAAGTATGGAAGATGCCTAAAGTTTCACCAGTATTTGATTTAGAGACTCCACAAAATAAGATTATGGACTTGGAGTTGTAAAGACTTGCGATAGTATGATGAGGTGCATGCATGTGCTTTGCATGGCAAGGATGTAAATTAAACTGGGGGAGTGGAGAAGGTAGAATGTTATATATTAAGTTATCTCCCCTCAAAATATGTGCTGTAAATCTCTTAACCTCTATGTCTGTGGTTAGAATCCCATTAGGACATGGACTGTCGTTGTTCGGTTACTGAGTAAGGATTAGTGTGGGATATGGTATTTCTGTAATGGCATCACTAGAATACTAAAACAAACAGTCTCCAAATTTTATCTATTAACTGATGTGTTGAAAAATGGGAACCAAAGCTCTTAAATTACTGTTATTTTGTGATCAAAGGATTATTTCCACTGCTTCTTCGGTACAACATCTATACCTTCTTTAAAATCTATACATACTATAATCCAGATTGCATGAACAATGTTCAAGTTCAGTCCTATTCATAAAGTTATATCTGACTTCTTAAATCCTCAGTAAACTCACTTAAAAATCAAAAAACTCAGTATTTTATTGAATTTTCAGTGGACAAATACACAGCAAAAAAATTACCTAATGATCATCCAATCATTTCTACCTATTTCATTCGGCTACATTAGTCACATTCTTTACATTACATCAGTAGTCTCAGTATTTCTCTTCTAGACGACCCACTTCCCTTAAGCTAGTCTCACATTTCCCACAACCTTCTCATCTATGCTTCACATAGTCTCATATACATTATTTTTTAAATTAAAGAGTGATTAGTCATTATTTTGTAGTCCTAGTGTGCTGCTGCGGGTTAATGTGCTAGACTTCAAGGTAGGTTTGAACCGCAAGGTTGGCGGTTCAAGCTCACCAGCCGCTCCTGGAAATCCTATACAGAGTCACTATGAGTCGGAACCAACTCGATGGCACCTAACAATAATTCATTACTTTATGAGCTAATCTGCTATTTACCTAAAAGGCGATTTGCGGGGTTAGCTTTGGCTCAAGGTTTAAAGAAAATTTTTAAGTACTAGCTTTGGAGATTTTACCTCTTTCAATGAGTTCTGCTGCACAGTTTTCTCCATTTCTATCAAGATCCATATTTATACTATGGACCTGATGTGAACTCACCAAGGGGCTTAAAAACTGTGTGGGAAAATACCATTATTATCTTTCAATTCCATTTTTCCACAAAATGTTTTGAAGTCCCCACATATGGTACTGGTAGTTGCGCACCAGCTAGTTCCTCTGGACTCAGGGCCGAGAAGCCCATGGCTCATGTGCACAGTTAGTTCCGCAGACCACGTCCTTCTCCGATTCTTGTTTCCTTTTTTCTCTTTTGCTCCAGACAAGTACATGCTAATAGTTGTATATGAGACGACTGCTCTCAAGCTTTTAAAACCCTGGATGCTACTCACCAGACTAGGCTGTGGAATATAACCTTTATGAACTATATTGTATCAACTGACCAAGTTATTCCATGAGACTATGACTCTGTATCCAAACCAAGAAAACTAACCCTGTGAAGAGACTGGTTATGTTTAATATTAATTATCTGTAAAATTACTAGGAAGTAAAATACAGTAAATACATTTGTTTCAGAATAGTACAAAGTGGAAACAAAATAGAGTCCATGGTTTCACACATTTCTTGATGATTTTCCTCCTCAATTTCTCCTAAGTATTTTTTTCACCCAGGAGCCCTAATAATAGGTATCAGATTCTAAGATCCTTATTTATTATATAATACACACATGCTCATATATACACAAACACACATTTATATACACATGCATATATATTCACCTATGGATAAGCACTAGACTGCGAACCACAAGATCGGCAATTCAAACCTACCAACTGCTTCTCAGAAGCCCTACACTGGGTCGCTATGAGCAAGAACGGACTCACTAGCACTTACAACAACAAAGTGTTACATATACAAGGGTACTTCAAAAAGTTTGTGAAAAAAATTCCATTTTTCACGAACTTCTGAAGTACCTTGTATATACATGTATTACATATAAATCCATACCTACCTAGTATACATGGAGTCCTGGTGTGACGCTGTATGATAAAGCACTGGACTGCAAGGTTGGTTTGAACTGCCAGACCGGTGGTTCAGACTCACCAGCCTCAGAAACCCTATACAGGGTTGCTATGACTTGACGGCACCTAACAACACCACTTACATACATACCCACACATACTTGGTCACTGTAAAATTATAGATAACAGAGCATTTATCAAAACATGTGTGTGTGTGTGTGTGTGTGTATAGCCTAATGGCACTGATTACCTTAAATTGTGTCGACCTCTTCTATGTATGATGCTACATTTTCCATTACCATAAATACAAGGAACTAATGTCTGAAGAATGAATCCTCTTTCCCCCAGTTCACTTTTGATTTACCCTCTTTAAGTACCTGTATAATCTACACTTCTACAACTAGCTCTTTATTATACACATTGTTACAGAATTCTAAGTACATTAGTCCTAACTCCTCCTTACTAGCATCCTGAAAAGAATCACTTCTTATTCTTCAATATAGACCAGAAAAAGTACCTAAGAGGCATGTAATGAAAATGTGGTGACTGACAGAGAGGCACTATAATACGTTAATCAAAACTTCCCACTTACTCTGTCCCACCCTCAGGATGAGAAATACCTGTATTTCCTGACACTTCTGTTAGATAAGCTGATGAATCCAGCACATAGCAAATTTCTTTCCTGTACTTGGGACCTCTCCTCCACCTTCCTCAGCACATTCTAGGTTGCTGTAACCCTTTGGTCTTTAACATGCATCATTCATATGTAACAATACATATTTGACTTTCAGACACAGAGGGCATTCATTTTGAACAAAGTCATTAGTTTACCAGGCAAAAAAGCAAAACCATCAATCAGTGCATGTTACAACAATTAAGGGTACAGAAAGGATTATTGTTTACTAACTAGTATTTTTAATACTGTCTACAAATATGGGCAACATCACGGTCAATAATGTAAGTTTGAAAAGTAAGAAACAGTGTGCAACTGATTGCCACTGAAATAATAATGTAAAAAAAAGTGAGTTAGTATTTTCTACGTGACTTCTAAGTTTACTTTTTTCTTGATACTTTTCAGGTCAAAAGAAAGGTTGAGGGAACCTTATTTGACCCTCCCCACACCCCCAGGCTTAGTTCAGACTTCCTAAATGCTCCCCAGTGTTTCAGATCATAGCATTTTCCTTCCTAAGTATATCTGTCTCTCTCCCCTCAACTTTTGAGTTGTTTGAGGGCAGGGACTGCCTCCAATTTACTTCAAGTCAGTGTCTGAAATGCATATGTTACCTGGTATTTGTTTCATTACATCAATGAAGGATAAATGAGGGAAGAAAGGCAAACAGAATGAGATTAAATGCCTTTCTGGGCAAAATAAACTCTTTGTTTAGGACATTAAAAAAATTGCTAAAAATACAGTTAATGGGTAGTTTAAATTAGCAAGTTAAGTTATAAACTATAAAGTTAGTAAACTTTATAGGAACAACAAAAAAAGGAAGAATCAGAAGCTTGAGCCAAATTTGATGTACTCACAGAACCCGAAAGAAAGTTGGACCTGCTATAGAGTTGAAGGAGGGCCTGAGTAAACTAATGGGAAATAAAATACAATAAATACATTTGTTTTAGAATAGTGCACAGTGGAAACAAAAAAGAGTCCACGGTTTCACACAACATTTCTTGATGATTTCCCCCCTCAGGTTTCCCTGAAGTATTTTCACCCAAGAAACCTAATAAAATAAAAAGAGATGAAACACCTAAGAAGGTGAAACACCAATTTATGACACTAGATAGCCTCTAAGGTACTCTTAGTAGAATTATTTCTCTGACCTTAATCCTAACATCCCTTTCTGTAGAAAATATAATAGACAAATGGTTTATATGAAAATGAAATGAACTGAAATTTACAGTTGAGCTATAGTCATTTTTGTCACCTACACACTCCCTATGTATGGAGTCCTAGTGTGGCACTGTAGGTTGAAACTCACCAGCCGTGCCTGGGAAACCTGATACTGGGTCATTATGAGTAGGAACTGACTCTACAGCACTTAACAACAATACTCTAGCTATATAAATAATCAGAAACTATGAAATACTAAAACCAAGTCCTTGGTTCTCGCTTTAAGATATTAAAAAATAAAATAAGTCCATCTGCAAATCTGTAACAAGTTTGGATGTACTTAGAAAAAGTAACAACATCTGAAGGAGCTCTGGTGGCCCAATGGCTAAGCACTTGCCTGCCATCTGAAAGGCCAGTGATGCAAATCCACCCAGAAGCTGAGAGAAAGAAAGACCCAGCAATCTGATACAGCCTGGGACAGCCTACAGGGCAGTTCTGCTCCGTCCTATGGGGTCACCAGGAGTCAGAACAGACTTGATGGCTCACAACAAAATGGCAAAATGCAATAAACAGGCATACTTTTTTATCTGACTTCTGGAGTCAGAGTTTGAGCTGAAAGGAACTAGATTAACTAGCAAAGGTAACTACTGATGCCCAAAATTCATCTAAGAGCAAATGTGCATATATTTCGAAATCTTAAAATCAAACCAAATGTATGAAGGAATATATCATCACGCCAATGAAATACTTCTATTTGGGGGAGAGGGGATTTTAAGGTTTAAGGTAAGCTAAAGGGAGGCATGGAGTCCTGGTGTGGTGCTGTGGGTTAATGCGCCAGACTGCAAAGCCGTTTGAACTACAACGTTGGTGGTTCAAGCTCACCAGCTGCTCCTTGGAAACCCTATACGGGGTCGCTATGGGTAGGAACCGACTTGACGGCACTTAACAACAAGAATAACAAAGGGAGGGATATGCTGAGTTTAATAATAAACTAAAATTACCTGTTGAACAAAAACATTGTTGAGGTGACTGGCCAGTCTCCGGGCAAAATGCTCCCGCAAATCACTGAAACGCTGCTGTTGTTGTTTGACTGCCAGAAGCATGTCATGGCCTAGAATCACAACAACAGTTCTGACTGACTTAACACACACATTTACAACAGTACCCCCACTGAAGATTTGAAGAAGTCACAGTTGTACTAGCTTACACATTTGATTTTTAAAAAGGATGGTGAGCAGGGCAAAGCAGTTTTCAAAGGGTAATCCAGCATCACCATCACCTAGGAACTGTTACAGATGCACATTCTTGGGTCTCAGGTTTACTGAATCTGGGGTGAGGGGAGAAGCTGGGCAATCTGTTTTCTGATACATGCTCAAGTTTTGGAACCAGAGGTCTAGCAAGGAGGTTCCTGGATAGCACAAACAGTTTGCGATTGGCTAACCTTAAGGTTGCACTTTGAATCCCCCCAGCTGTTCTGCAAAAGAAAGTCCTGACGATCTGTTTCTGTAAAGACCAAAGTCAAGAAAACCCCATGGAGCAGCTTGACTCTGTAACACATAAGGCTGCCATGAGTCAGAATCCATTAGACAGCAATAGCGTTTCATTTTTGGAATAGCAAAAGCTTATGCTGTCTGTGTTACTACCTATTTTGTGCTCGCTTTTTTTAGACAGTAGTAAGGAGCTCTAGTAGCGTAGTGGTTAGGCTGCTAATCTGAAGGTTGGCAGTTTGAAACTACCAGTGGTTCTGAGGGAGAAAGATGAGGCGTTCTACTCCCGTAAAGATTAACAACCTCGGAAACCCTGTGCATTGTCTCTATGACTCGGAACCAACTCCACTGTACTTAACAACAACAACAACAACAAGGAGTCCTGGTGTGGCGCTGTGCGTTAATGTGTCAGACTGCAAAGTCGTTTGAACTGCAAGGTCGGCAGTTTAAGCTCACCAGCCGCTCCTTGGAAACACTATGCAGGGTCACTATGGGTTGGAGCCGACTTGAAGCACTTAACAACAACAACAAAGAAAACTCATGGTGTCAATCAGAATTGTCAACCATCACCCAGAAAGTATTATAATGAAAAAAAAAATAAAGAAAACCCACAAAGTAACAAACTCTTAGTAACATCTGAAATGTCTGTAAATAAGTAACACTTCTTTAAGAGTTCTAAGACTAAAATAAGCCACATATTTCTGGTTAAGATCTTTTACCAAGTTGCAGGCTTAGTCTCAGAGTCCTAGTTATAAGTGATCGCCACCAATGAATGTACCTGGTCGAAGAGCTACATTCATGCACTGCAGAAGGGCATCGGCGGCATTGGTGCAGGCCTCAATGCCTCGAGAAGAGGCAAGATCTCCTTCCTGAAGTGCCTTGATATGACCCTTGGCCAGGTCCATGTGGTTCTAGAACATATGTAAATACACCATTTATTTACCCATGGGAAGTTTGGGAAATGTGTCAGTTAAGATGTTATTCAATCCTATCATCAGGTCTTTGGAATTATTTTAGATCCTAAACTCATGAGGAAATGAGAGGTTTGATATATTATCACAAGCTTTTTTGTTTGTTTCACTGGTAATCTGTAATCATACTTACCACAAGGAACTCTATCTCAGACAAGAGTTTCACATTATTGGTATTACTAAGATGAATTAGGTGGTTGCTTTCAGAGATCTGATCCATTTGTTCTTTTACACTTTGGAGCATTTCCTCATAACTGCTCAGTTTCGATTCAATCTGATCCACTTCCTTTAAAGCCTCATCCAGCAACTTCATCAGAATGTTCACCTGCTTCTCAGATGCCATGATGGACTGGATGTTGGCCTACAAGGTTAAAAGTAAAAATAATACTTTTATTAAGTGTGCTTTGAGAAATAAAACAGATGAAATGATGCTACATCTTCTTGAAAGCAGGGCCACATAGATAGAAATACATTTACTTTAACATATCACTTTATGTCTATGTTCTACTTTTTAACAGAAATAGTATTTCATGACTGTATACTTTGTGTCTGTACCAAAGCTAAGGACCATGCCTCACTATTCTACAGTATTTCCCTAGACTGTAAGGAATGTGGTATATCTTCATTTCTGTAAACTGAGAGACATTATACTGTAACAAAGGAGCTCTGGTAGTGTAGTGGTTACGAATTGGGTTGCGAACTGCAAGGTCAGCAGTTCAAAACTACCAGCTGTTCCACAGGAGAAAAATGAGGCTTTCTGTTCCCATAAAGACTTACAGCCTCGGAAACCCTATATAGGGTCGCTCTAGTCAGAACCGACTCCACGGCACATAACAACAACATACTGTAACACCTCTAATATTTTTTCCAATTCTACCAGCTATAAACATTTTCTGTATGCCTTAACATTTATGTAAACTAAAAAATAATAGCACCATCACCTATGCAAACCTTAGGCAAGAGGGTGGCCGTGGTTTACTAGTCTTGGAAGGATACATAGGATTCATTTTTGTATCATACAATTTGTACTAAAAGGATACAGAAGAGCAGTATGGGCCAAAAGATAGAGTCTTATATCATCTTCCCTCCCTTGCAATTATGTTTTATTTTACAGTAACAAATCACCATCCCTTACCACTGTTTTCTAAATGATTCTGAATTCCTAGAAATACAGGAGCTGACCACCCAAAATTAATTGCAAAGCGCTTTGAAGACTTGAAACATATATGCAATGTTAATCAGAAACAAAACATAAATCACATCAAGAAGATAGTAACATAAGATGAAAAACTTGAGCAAGAAACTAAAAGAATATCATTGCATAGGTGACACTGTGATTTCACACACTATTTAATATATATTTTCATAATAACTCAACTGTACATTTAGCTCACCTGTAAGAGTGAAACCATCTTTTAAGTGAAAAAGAAAGAGGCTTGACCTTGCTCAGGAAAATTTCAACTTCAAATTCATCTGGAAATCTCCTCTAGGCTTTGCTTCCCATGAATTTTACAAACTTGTACTATTTATGTAATCTTAATCTCTCTGGGCCTGAGTTAGACCTCATAGCTTCTGTTCTTCCCAAATATAAACTGCCAAATTTTCTTAAGTCTTTAATGGTTTTCTTAAATGCTTACTTTCAAAAAACAAAACAACAAATGATGTTGTTTTAGATTAGTCTCACCTAACTGGCATTTCTATTAGCTCTTTACTTTCTAAAGATGTACATTTAGATCACAGATAAGAAAAGTATTCATATAAATTAAAAGGCTCTCTTCCAGAAAGATGCTCACTTGTGCTTAACTGACTATAGGTAAAGGCTTTCTACTGTATGATCATGACAACTATGGAAAACATTGTGAAGAACGGATATTCCAGAACACTTCATTGTGCTCATGAGGAACCTGTACATACATGGTCATTAGAACAGAACAAGAGGATACTGGATGGTTTCAGATCAGTAAAAGTGTGTACCAGGACTGTAATCTTTCACTACACTTATTCAATCTGTATGCTGAACACATAATCAGAGAAGCTGGATTATATGAAGAAGAACATGGCATCAGGATTGAAGAAATCTCATTACCCACCTGCAATATGCAGATGATACAACCTTGCTTGTTGGAAGCAAAGAGGACTGAAAATACTTACTGATAAAAATCAGAAACTACAGCCTTCAGTATCGATTGCATCTCAATGTAAAGAAAACCAAAATCTTCACCACTGGACCAATGAATAATATCAAAAATCGAAAAAAGAATGAAATTGTTAAATAATTCATTTTGCTTGGATCCATAATCAACATTCATGGAAGCAGAAGTCAAGAAATAAAACAAAGGCAAATCTGCTGCAAAAGATCTCTTTAAAGTGCTTAAGAGAAAAGAAATTAGTATAAAGACTAAAATGCGCCTGACCCAAGTCAAGATATTTTTAATTGACTCATGTGCATGCGAAAGCTGGACAATGAATAAGGAAGACTGTAGAAGAACCAATGCATTTGAATTACGGTGTTGGAGAAGCACATTAAAGATCACGACTGCCAGAAGAACAAACAAATCTGTGTTACAACAAGTACAGCCAGAATGCTCCTTGAAAGGGAGAATGGTGAGACTTTGTCTCTTACACTCTGGACATGTTATTAGGAGGGACCAGTCCCTGGAGAAGGACACCATGCCTGGTAAAGTGGAGGTTAGGAGACAAAGAGGGAGACCCCTAATCAGATGGACTGACAGTGTCAGCAACCCTGGGCTCAAATGTAACAATTGTGAACCTGGTGCAAGACAGTGAACTGATTCATTTTGTTGTGCACAGGATCGCTATGAGTCAGAAGGACTCTGATGTCACATAACAACAACAACAACAACATTCCTAAACCTAAGGAACTCTGGTGGCAGGGGAACCCTACAACAACTCTGAGGGAGAAAAGACCTGGTGATCTGCTCCAGTGAAGACTTACAATCTTGGGAACTGTATGGGGCAAGTTCTACTGTTTCACAGAATCATTCTGAGGCAGAGTGGACTTGATGGCTGCAGGTTTGGTTTAGGCTTTATTTCAAAACATTTTAGGGGAGAAATCCAGTAGCCTTTTGTCCTGGCTCTCCTGTGTGGCACAGTTAAGTGCCAAAAGGTTGATGATCTGCTTCTGAAAGGTCAGAGTCTTAAAAACCCTGTGGAACACAGACAGTTCTGAAACACACAGGATCACCATGAGTCAAAAAGTCTCACTGGCAACAACCAACTTGTGTTTCTATCATAATTGTTTTGCTCCCTTCTGCTCAATGAGCCACTACGTTCAGCCTAATTTCTCTTTCTAATTTATACTTTTTTCATCTTTTCAACCACAAAAATTCTAATCTTTTACCCTAAACTACTCTAAGGTATTCCAGAGCCTGGGGGGAAATCATATCAGAAGTTGTTTTCTTATTGGCCCCTTTTTACTTGGATCACTTCACTTCTTAAGAACCTCCCAAGTTTCAAAAACCTCATCCAACTGGCCTAATAGGCATGGTCCTGTCTTTTGAAGACAACAGTGACAGACTAACAGCAGCCAGTAATGTGCTTATAGATAAACACAACAGTAATGACACTCCTGGTGTGGCACTGTGGGATAAATCACTGGGCCACAAGGTCAATTTAAACCATAGGGTCAGTGGCTCAAACTCACCAGCTGCTCCTTGGAAACCCTATACAGGGTTGCTATGAGTCAGAACTGACTGACGGCACTTAACAACAATGACACTATAAAGGAACCCTAGTAGCATAGTGGATTAAGAGCTGGGCTGCTAACCTCAAGGTCAGTAGTTCATGGGAGAAAGATGAGGCTTTCTGCTGCCTTAAAGATCTACAATCTGCAAGACCATATACAACGTTGCTATGAGTTGGAACCATCTTGGTGGCACACAATCACCAATCACTACCAGCCACACTATAAAGAGTGAAGTGCTGAGGTAGTAAAATAGGAACATCACCAGTCTTCTCAATCCATGACACGCTACTCAGTCAGAGAGTACACGCAAGCCTTACCCCATCGAGCACCTGCAGCTCTCTGGACAACTTTTCTGCAAAGGCCTCAGCATTAGAGATTGCATATTCACAGCCTTCCATCATTATTTCAATATCTTGCTCTTCTCTTGCATTTAACTCTTGGTACTCATCGACTGCTTCTTCATCACCTCCTGCCACGCTCTGATTTTCTCCACTTGGAACAGAGTCTTAAAGAGGGTAAAGGTAAAAATTCAAAATACAATTAAAAGGAGGAAGGGCTAACAGCATCTTAAGCCTTGTAGCTAGATAAGGTAAGACTAGCTTATAAACACGGGTCCTATTTACAGACTGAAAAGTTGGAAACGATGATTCAAAATACATGAAAACATTCAACCCATTATTATTATTTTTTTTATAAAGAACTGTGCATGTTAATAAAATGTAGCATTAAAAATTTATAATAAAAAGCATGCAGTCCAATCCACTGGTTTAACAGGCTTTAGTTACAAGCTCTCCAACTACAGTAAAGCTAAAAAAACAAACGCAAAACACATGGGGATGACCTAGTTTTTTTTTTTTCCTACCGGAGGTGCTTGTTACTGTTTTGAGGAAACATGATTATCGATTCCCGACACATGGAAACAATTTGCTTCCTTTCCTTTTCCGTTCTTTTTGTAGTTCCTATTTTTTCGCCTTTATGACGTTGTTTTTTATATAACTTTTAATTGAAATAAAAAATGTACTTACAATTCCCAATTTGTTTTGTTGTTAAGTGCTGTCGAGTCGGTTCAGAGGAGTGGCTGGTGAGTTTGAACTGCTGACCTTGAGATTCAAACCAACCTTGTGGTCCAGTGCTTATCCTACAGAGCCACACCAGAACTCCAGTTTCTTTTGGGCACTGAATATACTGTCTCTTTGCTTACAAAAATTTCATAGGCACTGATAAATCTTCTAAAGATATCTACAAGGAGCCTTTCAATAACTGTATAGTAAGAGCAACAACATGGCTGTTTGAAATAACAAATACCTAAATGGTCTTTTTGTTTCTTAACAAAAGACCAAGAAATCAAATCTGAGATGCTTTCTGGATAAATGTTTTAGTTTGAGTTTTTGGGAGAATATATTTAGCATGTGGGCATTTTGTATAAAGCTAAATATGTAACTTAAGGTTGTTGTTGTTAAGTGCTGCCAAGTTGGTTCTGACTCATAGTGACCCTGTGTAGGGTGTCCAAGGCTATAAATCTTTGTGGGAGCAGAAAGCCTCCTCTTTCTCCCATGGAGTGGCTGGAAGGCTCGAACTGCTGACCTTGTGGTTCACAGTCCAGTGATAATCTTACAGAGCAACTGCACTCCCAAATTTAAGGTTGGCTGTTGTGTACCGTCACGTTGGTTCTGACTCAAAGCAACCCTGTATAGAGTGTCTGAGGCTGTAAACCTTTATGGGAGCTGAAAGCCTCATCGTGAAAATCCCTCAAAGTGGCTGGTGGATTCAAACTGCGGAACTTGTGGTTAGTAGCCCAATTTATAGCCACTATGCTACCAGGATTCTTTAGGTTAGGCGAGGTAAAATGACAGAAATAACTGTTAAGCCCTAAAAGATTATGTTATCACTCTAAATAAAGTTATAGACTTCCATATACTTCATTGGATATTGATTTAAATCAGAATGCTTTTCATATTGTCTAAAAATGCATTAACATTTACCTGACATGTTTGTCTTAGAATAAGAAACAGCTAATTCAGATTGACAAAAAGGATTAGACAATTTAGACAGCATTGAACTTCTTATCATTTGAGTAAAGTCCATTTTTAATTTATTGTAGAAATGTTGAACTATCCTATGTGATGACTTATTACCCACTAGGGGGCAGAAACTGCCCAAATCATTCTGTATTGCTCCTTAAAATAAACACAAATTTTAAATGATCATAACCACTTCAGAAGTATTACCTCCCCAGTGGAATAGTCCTTTGGAAGCCAAGAATGAATATCATCATTAATTTTATTACACTAAGGATTTTGCAGTAATAAGCATGACATGAATACAACTTTGTAGAATATGCAATGAACAGTACATAAATAACAATGGCAAGTAATACAAATACACAGAATAGAATAAGAAGAAAAGGTGTTACGCACCTTCTGTAACTTTAGGCAGTTCTGGAGAGTAAAAAAGGTATGAAAAAAGCAGAGGGAAGTAAGCAAAGAATATTAGCTGGGTAGAAAAGTACACAGGTTTAATTTTTTTTTTTAATACCACCTATACCTCATTTGAACTTTACATGCTAAAATTAAGGTTTAAGAGTCAACATCAAAATCAACTACAAAGTGGAAAAACTGATAAAAGGCAAAGTTTCCAGGGTTCCTTTTCTTACTCATTTTCAGATACCACTGCTATGGAGTCAATTCCTACTCTTAGAAACCTTACAGTTCCAAGAAGAAATGCCCCACAGGGTTTCCAATCTTCACGGGAACAAACTGCCACATTTTTCCCCTTGGAGCGGCTGGTAGATTCAAACCACTGACGTTTTGTTTCGCAGCCAAGATTTCTAACCACTGTGTCACCAAGACTGCACTTTCTGATAGTGACTAAAAATATATTTAGCTTGCTATCTTCTTTTAACCTTTTAAGAAATAGTACTGACTTATCCTTGGAAGAGAAAACTGGGAAACAGATGATCTCCTGGAAAATATTTTTAGGTCAGTTGTGACTCATGCACTTTAGTTAAGTCAAGGCCCAAAAGCTTTACCCAAACACTCCCCACCAATGGATTAGTTACAAAACGCTGATAGAAAGGACAAGATTGAAACAATTAAAAAGTTCATGCAATATCAGTTCAGGCAGGTTTTTATGTATGTAAGTCAAAGATTATTTTTAAAACCTTGATACAAGTAGACTTAAACAGGAAAGCGCATAAGAACTTTACTTCAACTGCTAACAAAGTTCTCTTTTATAAAGGAGAAGCCCCAATAATTTAACGTAACAATCAAATGCCACCAATAAAAACTACCAATATTGCTATTGCTATATTCACAGTTAAGAATAATTCTATTTACTTGAATAATTAAATATCAACTAAAGGGAGAGGGTGATAACTTCTTGTTTTCTAACATTGTCCAAACTTCATAGATGTATTGATTTTTTTACAATGGGAATTAGTTGCCATGATTTCAATGTCCATTAAAACAAGGCATAAATGTCTGTAGACATTAATAAATCTATTCCCTCTATTAAACTCTATTAAACTAAAGCAATGGCTATTGATATACAGAAGGCGATTTTTAAAGTGTGAACTTTAAAGATATTGGTATTCTTAAAAATGATCGCAATTAGGGCTAATGTTTATTATAAGCATCAAAATGTCTACACTTTTTGTTTTAGACCCTGATAAACAAGATAATTTTTTTTAAAGCTAGATATCTCATTTTCAAAACAGAATTATTCCTCTCATCGACTGTAGTAAAAACACAACTACTCCTTGCTTACTATCTCCTTCACTAACATGTCACATTTACAATGACGAAAAACAACCTACTAACTAGTTAGCTCATTAATGAAGTGGTGGGTAGGGCAGCATTGACTGTGAAGTGACCACTCCCTTGAGGGCAGTCTCTGGTGGCCCCATTGACCCACATCCTCTGCTACCTCCTGAGGGGTGTCATGTCCAGTTGCTGTGTGGGGCCGACTTCTTCAACGGCTGTGGCAGTCTCAGAGACAACACTGTGCCAGTGGGTACCTGGTTTGGGTTCCCAGCTTCTATGCAATCTGAGGCTCTGCAGATCAAAATTGCTACTGGTGGGAAGGGAGGAAAGAGGCAAAGGATAGGGTGTCTGGAAGACATTCATGAGTTTCATGCCCTTCCCAAATAAGCTGAACTGGGCCTGAAACATTCGCCTCAGTGGAGCCAAGTGTACGTCCAGGCTCCCAGCGCCCTTACAGGAAGCTCCGGCCTCGGTTAACTGGCCAGGAATGGAGGTCAGAGCAGGCGCCAGGATCAGAATGCAGGGCTTGCAGGGGTGGGAGTGGAGCTCTGGAGGCTCAAGCTCTGACCCAGCAAAGGAAGAAGACAAGTTGTGCTGCGGGCCCTCCTGTCACACAGCCTAGTCGTATCCAGCCTTGCATCCCCAAGACTCCTCTACATCCGTAACTACACTCATCACAGTGAGTCTTAAAACCAAGAAAACCAAACCCACGGCCATCAAGTCGACTCCGACTCATAGTGACCCCATGTAGGGCAGGGCAGACATGCTCCTTAGGGTTTCCATAACTGTGAAATCTGTACGGGAACAGACAGCCTCATCTTTCTCCTGCGGGGTGGCTAACGGTTTTGAACTATTGACCTTGTGGTTAGCATCCCAATGTTGCTATTACTTATATGATCATATTTTCTAAATTAAAACAAACATTCAGGTAAGTGGATGATCTGAAAACAAAACAAAAAAAGTCCTCCATATCTACATAACAACTTGATCTTTGGAATTCAACGAAATTATTGAGGAGTGGGTGTATTTCTTAAAGAAGTAAATCCAAGTAGGAGTTGTATTTTCTAGCATTGTTGATTTAATAAAATAGATTGTTTAAAATAAATCCTAGACAATAAATGACAACTGGAAATACATCATATTTGAAAACAGAAAAGCAAGTTCATAAATCAACTTATATTCACTTATTACTTAACGCTGGAATGGAAACAAAAACTACTTAAAACAAATTAAACCACCATTGAAGGTGTGAAAAACTACTAAACATTTCTTGGAGGTCATTTCCTTAACACCACTGCCAAGACATTGGGGACTAATGCTGGTGAGGCAAAAACCCTGGGGGTTCACAGGGCCTGACAAAGGTGGTCTGCCTCTGCCAGTTCCAAATATTATGCCCCCAAAAGATGATTAATTACAGAGAAACCTGTGAGAAGCAGAACTCAACAGGACTGCCTTACTGTTCTAAGTCTCACAGGCTTTACACCTTCGACAAACTGCAGTCTTAACCACTTTTCGATCTCTCTCGTTTTAGTGGAAAATATTTGAAATTTTCTTTCTCTGACAGGTTTCCACCTTACAAAGGTTCTAGCTTTCTTTTGCAGGTGTTACTATATTCAGTGTTGTGAAAGAAAACGACTTCCAAGGAGGGAAAGATGTATGGCCAAGCAGAAAAGAAACGAGTGAAACAAAACAGAAAAGAGACAGACGTATGTGACTAAATAGATGCATAGCTTGAGTCATCTGAAATGGCCAGTTGTATAAGTCGAATGGTCGAATATTGGCAATTTCAGAAGGTTCAAACTAATAGAAAGTTTCTAATTTTAAATTCTAATATACAACTTAAGATACATTTAAGGTTTTTTTTAAATACATAATTTGGGATATATCTAAGTTTTCTTTCTCAATAATGAGAAGCAACAACTTTTTTAACAAAGTTATCTCTTTACCTGCATACTAGCTTTCATTTCAATTGCTTTGAGGTAGAAAATATAACATAAACTTGCATCTATAAAGCATACAAAACCATTTTCTTTTTTATGCAAAGACATTTCAAAGGATAAAATCTCATAATAAATTTTCAGTAATTTACATTAGTGTTTTACTCTTACAACAACAAATGATCCATAATGAATAACATTCATGAAGACAGACTGATCATCATATCCTAATTAACTTCAGGTTTAAGGATTTTATTCTGATAAAATAATATTAATAGTGTTGTTGTCGTTAAGTGGCACTGAGTCGGTTCCAACTCACAGCAACCCTGCATAGGGTTTCCAAGGAGTGGCTGGTGGGTTTGAACTGCCAACCTTGTGGTTTGCAGTCCAGAGCTGATCCTATAGCCCCACACCATAAGTCCATAAATAACAGTTGTTGTTGTTATGTGCCGTGAAGTTGGCTCCAACTCATAGTGACTCTGTACAGGGTTTCCAAAGCTGTAAATCTTTACGGGAGCAGAAAGCCTCATCTTTCTCCCGCGGAACAGCTGGTAGTTTCGAACTGCTGACCCTGATGTCAGTAGCCTGATTTGTAACCACCAGAGTGCCTTATAAATAACAGTAGCTAATATTTATTGAGTATGTATACCTGGTACTGTTCTTACAATTTGTACACATGAAGTAATCTAATTCTCACAACTATTACCACTTCTATTTCTGAGATAAGGAATGGAGAAGTTAAGTCACCAGTAAAAGCTACATAGGTATTGAATGGCAAAGAAAGCCAGGACTGAACCCAGGCAGTCTGGCCCCAGAGCTGTGTTCTTAACCACACCTACGTCCTGCACAAAAATAGAGCTTCCAAGATATTCATCCTATAGCTATTTAAAAAGTTGGGAAATGAAAAATAATTGGTTAAGTAAATTAACAGTACAATCATACAGTGGAATACTATGGTGCCATTACAAATAATGTTGGGGTAAGTATTCAATCATATGAAAAATGTTTAAGAAAAACTACATGAAAAAGTATGGTAGGAAATAGACTGTAAATGTCTGTATTTTTTAGAAAAGTCTTGAAATATGAATAAAAAAGCATATCCAACAAAGCATTATAAATCTATTTTCCAGTTATCTCTGAGAAATAGATGTATAAGTAATTGTTATGTATTTAACTTGACAAATTTTCTATAGTGAACAACTATCATCTCTACGATAAGTAAAGCTATTTTTAAATTCCTTTATGCTAAAAGGTAACTCAGTGTTTTAAGTTAATTGTCAAACTATATATTCATTTAAAAATACACATGATTTATCCATATATGTTTACTTGACTTTACCTTCCAAGAGTTGTGAACTAACACTGACAAAGTCGATTTTCTTTCGGAGGTACCGTTGGTTCAGCTTCCAAATGCATGAAATAAATGCATTCTTTTCAGCAGGGCTGCTGGCAACCCACTTATAGATTTTTTCAAAATGTAGATCAAATTCAGGGTTTTCCTAATATACAAACATACACAAAAAATTGTCTGTGATCATATCTTTTTCATTATTAATATACAATCTATCATTTCAATAAGATAAAAAGCTGAAGCTGCCCTTGAAAAAAAAAAGATCATCATTATAAGTGCTTACCCACTTGGCCAGCCATCTTGTCAATTTTAACTCATGGAGATCCTGTATAGGGTTTCTGAGGTTGTAAATCTTCACAGGAATAGCAAGTTTCATTTTTCTCCTGAAGAGTGTCTGGTGGATTCAAACTGCCGACCTTGTGGTTAGCAGTCCAGTGAATACCCTACACCAGGGCTCCTAAAAATGTGCTAGGTGACTTTTATTCTGATAACATCATAATAATAGCAGCAACATACTGCAAGGAGCTCTGGTAGCATAGTGGTTACGAATTGGGCAAGGTCAGATGTTCGAAACTACCAGTTGTTCCGCTGGAAAATGATGAGGCTTTCTGCTCCAGGAAAGCTTTACAGCCTCGGAAACCCTGTACAGGGTCACTATGAGTCGGAACCAACTCCACGGCACATAACCAACCAACCAAGACCCAAAGTACACAATGTCTCCTTCTGACTCTGGTCTCATCCTGGTCTGTAACATGATGATCTCTAATTGAACTTGAACCTATTTTTTCTATTTAAATTGCCTATTGAATCCTGGTATAGAGTTGCAGGATAACATGCTGCAATCCTCAGAAACCCTACACCGGGTAGCTATGGATCAGAACCAACTAGATGGCACTTAACAACAATTTAATAACATGGTGTTTTAAAGTTACATTCTTTCTTTGGTAATATACTCTTTTTTTTTTTTTTCCCCAGTGAGTGAGGCTTTATTAGGTAATTTTGCAAAATTGAGCACCCAAACCCAGAAGGCAAGACAGGCTGGTGCGCTCCAGCGGCAGTTTCACAAGCATTTTAGTCCTAGCTCTCCCAGTTCCTCATTGGCTGAGTACTATGGAGTGAACAGTCTTCGACTATTTCCTTTTATGGTTATATCCGATTTTAAAGTTTCTATTTCTTAAACAGGTTCCCGCCTCCTTCTCTTCTGTGGTAGGTAACAATTTGTGCCCTGGGTCAGCTAAGTTGCCTTTATTCTCTTTACTCTGAAGATGAACCAGTTTGAAATTTATTTCTCACAAATTTGATAAGCACTGGACTGCTAACCACAAGGCTGATGATTCAAACCCACCAACTATTCCTCAAAAACATTATATACAGCGTCTCAATGAGTCAGAATTGACTTGACAGCACTTAACAACATCCTATAGCATTAGCTTGGAGAGCACAGGTTCTGATGAAAACTGCTTTTCCTTCAGACCTTTCCCTGAGGTGGCACACTGCTGATTTCCAAGGCCTAGTTTCTGTTTTCTAGAATACGGGTTGGCAAGCTGAAGTTCACAAGGCCATTCGCCCTTGCTTCCCGTCGGAGATGCAGGGGGAACTTCATGAAAATTACTTCTCTTGGTGTCACAAAGAGTTGCTGTCAGACATCTGAGTTCCTGATGGAGGAAGATTTCTCTCATGTCAAGCGACCTGAGAACTATATGTACAGACAGTTTGCCTGACATGATTTCCTTTCCTCAGAAGTGCTGCTCTATTTCCAAGTCATCCTGGGCTGCATCTGCCTAATGTCCACAGTTAGCCCTTCCACACGTGTCCCAAGCTCTTCAGAGAGGAACCGGCCCAGCAAAGGCCACACGCAAAAGGGTAATATACTCTTAATTCATGACTGTCTTTTGACATTAACTCCTTGAGAAGAAATAAATTTTCTAATTATAACATATGAAAAAAAAATTCAATGTATATCTTGGTGTGATTTTCAAGAACAAATGAGGTAAAAAAAAACAAGGATTACTTTTAATTTCTTTCTATTTTAAAAACACAGACTAATAAAAGGCATTTCAAAAGCTAAAAATGGGTCTTAACAGTCTTTCAAATGATAAATCAGCTCAACTATCTGAGATTTATACTTTACTCTGTATATGTCTCATAAGTTAAGCAATTATTTCCTGCCATGGAAGTACTGTTCCCTTTAATGTAAAACCACTTGAGTACTATGTAAAAAAAAGAAAACATACGAACACGTATTTTCTTCACATTCAATGAATTAAAAAAACAACAACCAGGCTCATACATTTCAACAGTGTTCTTAATCCTTTCTAGGGTTGTTGTTAACTGCTGTTGAGTTGGTTCTGACTCACACTGACCCTGTACAGGGTTTCCAAGGAGCAACTGGTAAACCTGAACTGTCAATCTTGCAGGTCAAACTGAATTTGCAGTCCAACACATTTACCCACCGTGCCACACCAGGATTCCGCTTTCTAGGGTGGTAGTGGTGGTGGTTATGTGCCGTGGAGTTGGTTCTGACTCATAGTGACCCTGTATAGGGTTTCTGAGGTTGTAAATCTTTACAGGAGCAGAAAGCCTCATCTTTCTCTTGCGGAACAGCTGGTAGCTTCGATTTGTAACCACTATGCTACCAGAGCTCCTTGCTTTCTAGGGTAGAAGGGCAATAATACAGTCAATTCATAGCACAGTTTTATTGAGTGGTAATAAATGAAAAGACATTAGAAGTGAGGGACATTATAACAGACCTTTACTGTGAAGAGCTAGGATAGTTTTAGGGATCAGAGTTTGACCTGTGATATAAAAATCATACGATAGCATAATTACTCATTTGTTTAATTTATAGTTTAATTAATAGAAGTATAAAAAAATTATCAACTTCTATTTGCAATAAAAATGTAATGGTGTTATTACTTGTTTAAAAAACAGAAATCTAATGTATTGGCAACTGATATGAAACTTGATGGGAAATGATCTCTTGCCTGGGAATATTTCCCATAATGCCATAAAAGAAGTTGAGTGCTCCAGTGGCAACATTCACACAAATCAATGTGTGATACTAAATGGCTACTGTTAGACTACATATAAAATTTTTATATTTTATATCCTTATGGTATTCACACACAAAGGTGCCTACATAAAATGAAAAAAAAAAAATCCATTAAGCAAGTCAGCAATGAGGCGTCAGCTGTGAAAAAGCATTCAGCAATACTAGTGAATTATGCAAGTCAATAGGGTTATGAAGATCAAAACGATTTACAGACAAAGGCTTTTTAATAAAGGTACATTTCTGAAAAGCTCTCAAAGCAGTTTCTATTAAACAGAAACCCACCTAAAGTTTCTACTCTTGACTTCTTCCCATGGTAGTACATTCAAGTGCTAAAAAATTCCCTTCTAATTCTCTTTCGCTAAACACAGCCCAAAGCTCCTGTCAAATGCTATTTCCACATGTCTAAAACTTGGGTGCTTTTCAGGGATAAAGTAAAGGCCCAGTTTGCCTGAAATAATGAACGGATGAACAGTGTCTGCATTTGGAAGCTATCTGATTTAACAGATAATCAAGGTTCTCCTTAAAACTGTTTTTGCTTCATTTCTTTTTTGTATCTGACTCAACTGCCTGTCACTGTTTCCAGCTTTTAGTTCCTCATGATTTTTAGGGGTAAAATAAAAATTTAATTTCATCAGGTAGTTTGTTTTTTCTGTATCTTTTGAATAAATTTGTTGTTAGGTGCCATCGAGTTGGTACCAACTCATAGTGACCCTATATACAACAGAAGGAAACACTGCCCGGTCCAAGTACAGTTATACTTACATTACTGTAAGCCTCGCTATTATTCCCAACAACAAGCGGATGTGTTGAAAACTGTTCCCTAGAGCCCTGGAGGTGACTTTGGGCTGCCAGAGAGGATGAGGAACAGGTTAGAGAGCAGGAGGTCGAGGACACACCAAATTCCATCAGGGGAACCAGTTGGTTACTTGGAAAAAAGTATTGCCAGGAAAAGCCTTGAATAGCCAGGAATGTAGACAGCACTTTAAAGTGATCATCGTGTTATTATAATTCCTTAAAGTGTGTGGTTTATGTGGAAGCAAGATACATTTTCTTTAAAACTATGGTATATATACCTCTACTGGAGTCATGGTGTGGCACTGCTGGATAAGCACTGGTCTGTTAACTGCAATTAACTAACAGATTAATTGGCAGTTCAAACCCACCAGAAATCCTCAGAAATCCTACACAGGGTTGCTATCAGTCAGAACTGACTCAATGGCACTTAACAACAACCACAAGCACCATCCACTCTAAGTCCTACTTGAACCACACATAAACGTCATGGGCTTCTTAAAAGCCAGCTAGACTGCCTCGGCTGATGACTGTGAATTAAGGAAGACTCACTTTGGTTGTATTACATGATTTGGAAAAATTTTGCCATGATAATGAAGATTAAAAAACAAACACACACCTATCAACTCATACAACCTACTTCAAAATCTAAAATGGTTGAATATAAGGAGGTTTCAAAAGTTGGTAGAAATACCCCATTATCTTGTAATTCCGTTTTCCCTGGAACTTTTTGAAGTCCCTTTGCATATCTGACCTAAATACAGACATGTGTTTGAATGCACAGAGCCAAGATTATTTTGCTCTAGTTAACAAAGCTTGTGCACAAATATGAACAAGTGAAAACAATCAACACACATACCTATTTTTAGTAACTTGAGGACTTATGGGGGAACGGAAAATTGAATAATATCTTCCAAACTTACATAACTATCACAAAGTATAGAAAATGAAGGAACACTCTCCAATTTATTATGACTTTATTATAAAGTCAGACAAAGATAATGTAAAAAAAGAAATGACATTCAATGCTCCTAATGAATATGAATGAAAAAAATCTTAACACAGATACTGTGCTGGCAAACTTAATCCTGTGGTGCTGAAGGATGATCACCGGACTGCGAACCACAAGGTCAGCAGCTGAAACCTACCAGCTGCTCCCTGGAAATCCTATACAGGGTCGCTATGTGTTGGAACTGACTCCATGACACTTTACAACCAACAACGTACATAAAATACTTTATTTCATAAATGTAAAGAGTCTTTTTTTCTCCTATATTTTAAAATCTTGCAAATCAGGATAAGTATTATCAGTGCAATGTCATTTTTTTAGCAGTACATAAAATTATATACTATAATCAATATAATTGATGACATATAGTACTTCAGATTAATTCTTGGTTAGAGTGATCATAAAAATAGGTGTAGTTCATCTTTCAATCATAAATCTATGTAAACATTGTTGTTAAGTGCCACAAAATGGGTGCTGACTCATAGAAACCCTGTATAGGGCTTCCAAGGAGCAGCTTGGGTCTGAACTGCCAACCTTGCAGGTAACAGTCCAATACTTAACCTACAGCGCCAGAACAAGACCCCTATGTAGATGTAAACCTATATTTAAAATTAAAGACACTTTCTAAACGCATGTCAAAAAATGATGACAAACATACTTTAATAGCATCTTTGGCATCTACGACAGCAAGGTCTCGAAGGGTCCATGCAATCTGCCTTTTGTAGAAATCTCCTTTGTCAGATTTCTTGACTTTGACCACCTTCACCTGCACAGGGCGTTCAGTTGTCACTGTTGAGTGAAACACACTTCCATTAGAAAGACTATGCACTCACTGGTTCGTTACAAAGACAGCTGTCAGGTTTCCTGGTACATGGAACTAAAACAGGAATGCTATGTCTTAACAAATGACTGAGCAATGAACAGAACGCTAATGAGCATATACAACAGACTACAGGCTCGGGGCAGATCCCTAAGGAATTACAACTTCAGACAAGTTTTAAAGTGTATGAGCTACATGCTCCTAGGAGGCACAGATAGTGAGACTTGGTCTCTCATACTTCGGACATATTATCAGGAGGAACCAGTCCATGGAGAAGTACACCATGCTTGATAAAGCGGAGGGCCAGTGAAAAACAGGGAGACCCCCAATGATATGGCCTGGCACAGCTGGCAGCAGCAACGGGCTCAAGAATAACATTGTGAGGATGGAGCAGGGTGGGTAGTGTGTCATTCTGTTGTGCACAGGGTTGCTATGAGTTGGAATTCACTCAACGGCACCTAACAACAACAACGGAGGTACACAGAAATTTCAAAAAACAACAGACACATGTCAAAAGAACGTAACACCATTGAGGGGACAACAACATGGATCGTACACGCAATGAAATAGATGGAAATGAAATTCATAAAAAGATGTCATTCAAATATAGGGTCTGTATTTGAAAGTTGTGAGGATCTCATCCCTCCCCCCACTCCCCCGACAAAATTTATTAGTGAAGTTAACAGTTTACAATTCAGGGTCAGAAACATTCAGGGCACAATTCAGGACAGCCTCTTCTCAGCTGTGCCCATAGGCAGGCCTCTGCGTGGGCAATGTTACAAAGCTCTCTTAGGGCTGCTGATGAATGCCCACAGGGCACACCACTTCAACATAAGCCTCAGCCTGAAAACATTCAACTCTAGCTTTGTGGGTCAGCAGATTTCGTTCCCCCAACTAAGTGCTTAGGAGCATTTTACTCTGCAAGCCCAACTCCTGCCCAGAGCCACTCATCTTTACTTGCTCCATGGGCTGGGAAATCCAACACTTTGTCCTGTGCTCTAGCTCTTGGTTCTGCTGCTGCTGTTCCTCTGCCATTCCTCTGGTGCCACAGCTTTCTGTCCCTGGGTGCAACAGGTTCAATGCACAGGGATCTTGGGGACAAAAGGACACACACCACTCCTGGCTCTTAATTATTATTATTTTTGTTTTAAGTTATTGTGAACGGAGTGAGTTTCCATGGTAGAACATCAGTTTTGCACTCAACCAATCTTATTTTGTTTCATTGCAATGATGACAATCTCCTCCATGTGCCATGGATTAACAGTATTTGCCTCTAGTCCCTCTTCATTTTTTTAAATGTACATAAAAACACACAGGAATACATACTCATTTAAACACTCAAAGGGCACATTTTGCTAGCCAGCCTCTGCCCGCCAGCATACAGCCTTGCTCTTTCCATGAATCTAGAGTCCTCAGAGGCTCAATCTCTCCATGCCATCACCTCTGCCTCCGTCTCTGGTATCACTGCTTCTCTGATTAGGGTCCCCCATTTTGCTCATGCTCTTCCCTCTCGATGGTCCTAGGGTCCTCTGTTCCTGGAATATAAGATTAACTGCTCCTCCCTTTTCACTACACATCATCTACCTTTACAGTTGGGGCAATCGCAATTAGTCATCATAACAATCACTCACTACTGAATCAAAAGAATCCTATCCCCAACTCCTTTCAGCAGACCCATCTAGACAAGATGAAAACTATTCAGTGGGGATTTTATCTTCACCCCCTTGCCCCACTCTCTGAAACTAAACTCCCTCTTGAAAACTTGTAAGCCAGTCACTTCATGCCTTTATAGCTCCCATATTTTAGGTAGCCAATGTCTAAGTTACCTGTCCCTATCAACCCTTTATACTGAGGGGACAGGCTTAATCCTTGATGTGAAGACACCTTCCCTTGTGATTGGTATTTTGAGATACTACATCATAAGTAAAGATCAAGTTCATCAAATTGTAGCAATTTACACTTGCATCCTGTCTCAAGTTTCTTTATCTTCCTCTATTCTAATTCTGATCATCAAACCATCCAAGCTAGGTCAAATAGGTACTATCTGCAAGTCTGGGCATTCTTGCACACCTTATGGGGATCTCTCAAAGGATATTCATTATGGAAATGACATTCTCCCGTTTCCAGTTTTTAAGAAGTACTCTGGCAGAAGAATGAACGTTGAATTGGAGTAGATGCCAATACATCTGAAAACATAGATATAAGTGGTGGTGAAATTCTGCCAAAAAATGTAACTTACCAAAACTGATTCAGAAAAGAAAATACAGAAAGTTCAAAACCATTAAAGAAACAGCAACAGTAGCTTAAAAAATCTCCATTTCCCCACTCCCCAAATAAGCATACTTTTCCAAGACAGTTTTATTGGTATCTTCTGCAACCTTTCAAGACATGAATAAGTCCAAACTTACACTGCTATTCTAAAGTACAGAAACTGAGGGAACACTGCCTAACTTATTTTATACCTTTATTATTATAAAGTCAGACAAAGACTGTGTGAAAAAGGAAAACTACAGGCCCATGCTCCTAATGAATATGAATGCAAAAATTTTAAAACAACTATTGTATTGGTAAAGTTACCCAAGAGTATATATAAAAGATAGATACAGAAGATAATACTTTATTGCATAAATCCTAAGATGTATTCCTCCCTATCCATGCCCCTACCTACATTTTAAAATCTCTAAAATCAGGATAAGTCGTATTAATGTGATGTCATAGTAGTTTTATTTTATTAGCAGTACATAAAATAATATATAATAAAGCCATAAGATGAATTGGGTTTATTCCAGACAGTAATTATCATTAGAAAAACCAAGTATGATTACCAACCACAGTAACAAATTCAGGGAGAAAAATTATATGATATTCTCAGATGTTAAAAAAAATTTGATTAAGTTTAACATCTGGTAGTGCAGTAGTTACAAGTCGGGCTGCTAACTACAACGTCAGCAGTTCAAAGGTACCAGCTGCTTGGCGGTTTTCTGCTCCTATAAAGGTGCACAGCCTCGGAAACCCTAAAAAGGGTCACTATGAGTCGGAACTGACTCTACGGCACACGACCACCACCACCATCTATTTATGATTTGAAAAATAACAAAAAAGTATGAGAAGACAGGAATAGACAGAAGTCCTTATATTTGGTAAAGGATGGCTACATGAAACCTACATTCAGAGGGGGCTATGTAGATCTTCTAGAGCATTAAGGAGATCCTTAGGTTCATTATGGCTATGATTACAGAACGACTGTGGTGGAGGTGAAGAGCCACACGATGGTTTTCATGTTGGAGCTGCTCCTCCTCACGGTAGAGCTGGTTATTCAGGGAGAAGGTCCTGGATCAGCAAGAGGCATTCGTGGTGTGAGAGGAAATGCCCAACAACAAAGAGGCTGCAGTAGGGGGAAGGGGTGGAGGCCAGTCCTGACCTGCTACAATGACGACTGATTTGCCATGTGGGATTATCCCAGAAGCTTGTAGTGGCACAATGGTACGGAAATCAAACAACCTTAAATAAATATCTTGGCTGTACAGGAGCATATTCTATTACAGAAGACCTTCCCCTATGTAGATCATGGAATCATATATGGGACATTGAACTAATACTTCAATTTTAATATGAATTTCTTTAAAAAAATTATCTCTGCAGTGCAAGTTACTAAAGTTATTCTATTTTCCAAAATGTGTTGCAACAGAAATTCTTCATAACTTCTGGCATGTCATCTTAAATAAAGAATAAAGTTCTCCTCTTTAAAAATCTGCTCTAAAGGTCAGGAGTGTTGGAAGAAGTACAGCCAGAGTGCTCCTCAGAAGAAAGGCTTGCCAGACTTAAGTCTCTCATACATCAGACATATTGTCAGGAGTGACAAGTCCCTGCAGAAAGGCATCATGTTTGGTAAAGTGGAGGGTCAGTGAAAAAGAGGAAGACCCCTAATGAAATGGATTGACCCGGTGGCAGCAGCAACAGAGTAACAATGACTGTGAGAATCACACAGGACCAGGGAGTGTTTCACTCTGTTGTGCACAGGGTCTCTAGGAGTTTGAACGAACTCAACAGCACCCAACAACAACAAATCCCATTAAGAGTAAAGTTTTCTTTGTTACGTTATTGACCAAAGAAGTGCTGGTGGCAACCAGAAAGTCAGTGGTTCAACCCTACCCAGCCACTTCAAGGGAGAAAGCTAAGAACATCTGCTTCTGCTAAGAGTTACAGTCTCAGAAACCTAGGAGTTCTACTTTATCTTATAAGGTTGCTATGAGTCAGAAATAACTTGAAGCCATTGGGGATAACTGGGAAGCTGAAATCTAATTTCTATCTTCCTAACCTGAAAAAATAAACTTCTGTTCATTAAAGACATTCATTTGCAGTATTTCTGTTATAGCAGCACTAAGAAATGAAGACACCCAGCAACTTCTCATGCAGGGATGTACCCTAGAAAATTCTTGCTTTTATTTATTAGGAGACAAGAACAAACATATTCACAAAAGTACTGTCTATAATAGCATAAATTGGAAACAAGCCTACAGTTTCTGACTAGCAGAAATGGTAGTAACCTGTGAAATCTCATACAGTGGAATACAGTGCTGGGGACATCATGCCAACCTATACACACCAGAATGAAACACAGTTGAGCTCACTGGTACAGACACTGTATCAACCTCTCTTGTTGGGAATCTGCCTCTTTTTTTGCCGAGTCTCTACTTTACCAAGCATGATATCCTTCTCAAGGGGACAGTCTCTTCTGACAACAAGCTCAAAGTACGTGAGAAAAAGTCTCACCATACTCATGTCTAAGGACGATTCTGGCTGTACTTCTTCTTCCAAGACAGATATTTGTTCTTCTGGCAGTCTATGGTACTTTCAATATTCTTTACCAACACCATAATACAAAGACATCAATTTATGCCCATCTCTCTTATTCATTATTCAGCTTTCAAATGCTTATGAGGCAAATGAAAATACCATGGCTTGGGTCAGGTGCACCTTAGCCCTTAAAGTGAAATCTTTGCTTTTTACCACTTTAAAGAGGTCTTTTGTAGCATATTTGCCCAATACAACAAGACATTTGATTCCCTCACTGCTGCCTCCCTAAGTACTGATTGCGGAGCTTAATAAATGAAATCCCTGACAACTTCAATCTTTCCTGTTTCTTATGATGCCTACGGTATGGTGGACTACTTACTATGGCTCTTCTAGTCTGAATCTTTGTGACACCCATCAAATGACTGGCTGGAATTAGGCAGCTTTGCCTGATAGGTCTGGGCAACAGAAGGTGGGGGAAGGTGCTGACGGATTATTATGATTCAGTTGTGAGTGATTATTAACAGAATTTTATGACTGCAGAAACTTAGAACTCTAGCATGGGAACTGGTCAATTTTGCCATCCTGGTGGGTATAAAATGAGTCATTTGAGAAGTATGAAAGGGCATCTCACTCCAACATAAAAAGAACCATATGGGAGTGGGGCACATTATTTAGACCTCGAGGTCCCTGTGACAGAGACCTGTGACATCAGGAATAGCAATAGTAGAACCAAGAACCAGAGCACGAGATACGTCCTGGCCCACAGGGCAAGTAAAAGTGAGTGCCTTTGGCATGAGGCTCACTTGTGGAGTGCCTCCAAGAACTTAATCTGGGGAACCAGGTTTGCCAACCCATGTAGCTAGAGTCAAGTGCCTTTGGACTGAGGTTTAAAGCAGAGTGAAGTACCCTTTGAGCATTTATAGGCAGACTTAAGAGTTTTGTAACATGGCCTTACAGGAAAGCTTAGGCCCTTGTAGAGATCAAGGGTCCATGTAGCTGAAGGACCAAAGGGAGGCATGTCTGTGGGTACAGCTGAGAAGAGGCTGTCAGACTGGAAGAACTGTGTCCTGATCCTGAATTATAACCGTTAACTTCCTTAGTAAACATCACGATTGTGGAGTTGTCTGTGAGTTCTGTGCAGTCAATGTAATGAATTATCAAACCCAGCTGAGTTATGTGCAGTCAATGCAATGAATCATCAAACCCAGTAGAGAAGTTAAGGAATGTTGTGGGAGGGACGGCTGGTGTCAGAATTGGTTGAGAAGGTAGAAGGCTGCATGTTTGACCTTTGCCTCATAGGCATTGGCCTTGTGTTCATGAGTTTGATTTTTCACCCTCCTTGTAAAGTCATATGCAGTCACATGCTGCCTCTGTGTCATTTTTACAATGTTGGTTATTGGTCCAAGTTGTGAAGAGTTTTGTTCTCTTTACATTTACTACATGGTGATGGTGGTGGCTGTGTGCCCGTCAAGTCAGTTCTGACTCACAGCGACCCCATATAGGGTTTCCGAGGCTGTAAGTCTGCCTGGGAGCAGAAAGCCTCATCTTTCTCCCTTGACTGGTAAAATCGAACTGCTGACGTTGCAGTTAGTAGCCCAACTCATAATCCACTATGATACTGGGGCACAGCAGTGGAAAATGATGGAGATATGGCTATAGGAAAGAACATGATAAAGGCTCATGAACACAAACTAACATGGTGGTAGTGGTGGTGGTGGTGGTAGTGTGCCGGGGAGTTGGTTCCTACTCATAGCGACCCTGTACAGTATAGGGGTTCCAAGATTGTAAAGCTTTACGGGAGCAGAAAGCCTCATATTTTTCCCATGGAACAGCTGGTAGTTTCAAATTGCCGACCTTGAGGTTAGCAGCCCGACTCGTAACCACTACGCTACCAGAGCTCCTTAAACATAACATAGGGTAGGAAAAAGCCACAAATATATATCTGCATTATGCTTCAATTTATGTAAACTCCAAAAACATGCAAAACTAAACAATATATTGTTTGAGATAACAAACAGACAAGTAAGATGATAAAGGAAAGCAAGCCAGAGGGAAGGGAATGGGATCCGGGAAGGGCACCCAGGAGAATTCAGAGATAATGGCAATATTCTTCTTAGACTCAGAGGCAGGTATGCAAGCAATGTATAGGCTGTTTGGTGTTTTTTACATCTATTCAATATTTGAAAATCACAATATAAATAATGAATGTTGATCCTCCCCCAGTTTCCAATTAGAGGAAATGTGAGCATTTAAAACAAGGAAGAAAGTTCTCACAGCAACAAAAGCACATCAAGTGAGGGCCTTTTCTTACTGGACACCTACCTGTGGCACACAAAAAACAGTTCTTTTTCTTTTTTCCTGCTTTGCAGACATTTACGATGCTCAGGAGTCGCTCATCATTTGGTGTAAAAATGTCTCTTTGTAATGCGTGCTTGATTGCCGTCATCCTTTCTCAGCTGAAAAAATTCAGTATGAATATTAAGCTCATTCTGAAAATCATGCTATCTTACACCATCCAATTTGTGATAAAAATCTTATTGAGTAGTGAGTTTAAGAGAAATAATTTACTATACTAAGAAATCAAAGTTGTAAGTTTAGATATAAATTTAGAGAAGAACCAGTGTTGTCAAAATTTAAAAATCTGAAGTACTTAATGCTGTTGCTGCTATTAACTGCTGTCTACTCGGTTCAGATTCATAGTGACCATGTACAGGGTTTCCAAGGAACAGCTGATGGGGTTCCTAACCTTGTGGTTAGCAGTCCAGGGTTTCCAACAGCACCACACAGGACTCCAAAGTCTTAATGAGTGCTGTAAATCAAAAAAGAAAAAGTAAAGATACAAATCCATGACCAACCTTTAAAAAATAAAGTTTCTATGTAGTGTCCTACTAGAGTTCTGGTGTGGTGCTGTAGGATAAGCACAGAGCTGCTAACCAAAAGGTCAGCAGTTCAAATCTAACAGCTGCTCCTTGGAAACCGTACATAAGGTCCCTGTGAGTTGAAACTGACTCAATGCCATTTAACAACATATAAAGAACTCTTACAAGTCAACAATAAAAAGACAAATAATCAGGTTAAAACTGAGCAAAGTATTTGAATGGCTATGTCTCCATAAAAGATAAAAATGGCCCAAAAGTACATGAAAAGGTGCTTAACCTCATTAGCTATCCCCAGTGATTAATCCAACATTAGTCAAATTTGTCTCATGGCAACTTCACAGTAGAGTAGCACTGCTCCACAGGGTTTTCTTGGCTGTAACCTTCTGAGAAGCAGGTTGCCAGACCTTTCTTCTGTAGTACTATTGGGTGGGTTCAAACTGTCAATCCTTAAGTTAGTTATTGAGTGCAAACCATTTGTGTCACCTATATTTCTTGGTCATTGTTGTTGCTGGGAGGTGCTGTCCAATCAAGTCTGATTTATTGCAACCCTATGAAAACAGAATACTGCCCAGTCCTCTGCCATCCTCGTAATTGTCATGTCTGCTGCTGCCACTGTGCCAATCCATTTCATTAGGCGTCTTCCTCTTTTTCACTGACCCTCCCCCTTACCAAGGATGATGTCCTTCTGCATGGACTCGTCCCTCCTGATATGTCCAAAATACAAGACACATTCTCACCGTCCTCACTTGCAGAAACATTCTGATTGTACTTCTTTCAACACAGATTTATTTGTTCTTCTGGCAGTCCATGGTACTCTCAATACACTTTTCCAACACCATAATTAAAATGTACCAGTTCTTCTCTGGTCTTTATTCATTCAAACTTCACACGCACTTGTGGCAAATGAAAATACCATGGCTTGGGTCAGGTGCACATTTTAGTCCTTAAAGTGAGATAGTTGTTCCTGAACATTTTAAAGAGGTCTTCTGCAACAGATTTGCCTAATACAATATGTTGTTTGATTTCTTGACTGCTGTTTCCATGAGTGTTGATTATGGATCCAAAGACAACTTCAATTTTTTTCTCTATTTGTCAGGATATTATTTATTGTTCCAGTGGTGAGAATTTTTGCTTTCTTTACACTAAGGTACAATCCATATTGAAGACTGTGGTCTCTGATCTTCATTAGTATTTTAAGCCCTCTTCACTTCCAGCAAGCAAGGTTGTGTCATTTACAGATCACATGTTTATAATAAGTCATCCTTCAATGCTGATACCATGTTCTTCTTCATATAATCCAGTTTTTCAGATTTATACTCAGTGTGCAGAGTAAATATGTATGGTAAAAGGAATATGATCCTGTTACAAGCCTTTCCTGATTTAAACCACTCAGTATCCCCTCATTCTGTTGGAACAACGGTCTTTTGGCCTATGTACAGGTTCCTCACGAGTACAATTAATTGTTCTGGAATACCCATTCTTCACAATGTTATCCAAACTTTGTTAAGAATCACATAGTTGAATGTCTTTGCCTACTCAATAAAGCACATGTAAACACATTTTTCTGGTATTCTCTGTTTTCAGTCAAGATGCATCTGACGTCAGCAATGGTATCCCTAATTCTTCTGACTCTGGCTTGAATTTTTGCAGCTCCCTGATGTTGCGCTGCTGCAACCATTTTTTAATTGATTGCCAGCAAATTTTTATTTGCATACTATATTAATGATGCTGTTTGATGATTTCCACATTCAGTTAGACCACCTTTCTTCAGAAGGGCACAGATATGGATCATTTCCAATCAGTTGACCAGGTAGGTGTTTTCCAAATTTCTTGGCAATTACTTTGTGATGAAGTTCAAAGACCATAGCCTTCAGTATGGGTTGAACCTCAGTGCAAAGAAACCAAGAATCTTCACCACTGGACTAATAAATAACATCATGATAAATAGAGATGTGTGCAGTATTTCATACAAATGAACTTGCCTAGAAAATTAACTTCTATTTACAACAAAGTAAATAATAAAGCTTCTACTGAAAAATGAAGAATTTATGAGTTTTAAAATTACAACTTACAGTGAATTTAACGAAATTGCTACTTTTGTCACACAAATTGTTTCTATATTTTATTCAATCTGTCAAATTTCTATTTTTAACTCCTACTCCAAAAATTGCTTTTCTCTCAAGATTCATTCATCTGTTCCTTCCATCCCTATCCTATCCCTCTTTAACCTCAACTCAACTTCTTTTGACTCCTTGTTCTCAGAGTCTAACTAGCTCCTCCTAGATTAATTTAAGTCCCCAGGGCTCCCCTGGTGTGTCACTTTAGGGTTAGCACTGAATTGCTAACCACAAGGTCATTGGTTCAAACCCACCAGTGGCTCCTCGGAAACCCTGCACCAGGTCTCTGAGTTGGAACCAACTGGACAGTACCTAGCAATAGCAGCATTGTATTTTGAACGTGAAATCTTGTAAGCATAACCTAGGATTGCTGGTGTGGTACTGCAGAATAAGCATTGGACTGATAACCACAAGGCCAGTGGTTCAAACCCACGAGCTGATCCTTGGAAACTGTATACAAGGATTTGAGTTGGAACGGACTTGACAGCACTTAACAAGCACCAACTAACCTGGAGGCAGTGATTTCCTACACCCCTTCAATGATCTAACCATGTGTGCTGATCAGTTCACCATGTTTAATCAATCCACTAAACTGATTTTTCCTCTACTTTCATTGGGTGACCATATGCCACTGAAGAAAGCCATGTACCCTGCTCACCGAATACATTCAAATATCAAAGCTGGACTTTCAATGCTGCTCAGCCATTCTTTAACATCAACACTTCCTTTTCCCATTTGCCATCACTGTTGTGGACAAAGCTTTACTACAGGCCTTTAGGCCCCAATTCATGTTGGCCCCTTCAGTCTCTGCAAATGACTTTAATACTTACTCTTCAGATAACACAGAGGCTATGAAGTACAACTCTCTCCAACTGCTTTTTTCTCCATCTCTCTACATGTTCACCTATCTGAATCTCTTTTCCACCTATTAAAATGCTTGTTATTAATCGTTAATATGCTCTAGGGCCTAGACACGGATAAAGAAAGCTCTATTCCCTCCTATTTCACACTAGACAGTGATCAATTTAATTTTCTATCTCTGGACTGTAGGACTCGATTGAAAGGTTGGTTTGAGCCACAAGGTCAGTGGTTGAAATTCACTAGCTGCTCCTTGGAAACCCTATACAGGATGGCTATGAGTTGGAACCAACTCAACGGCACTAACAACACATAATTCCTTCCTTTCTTTCTGCTCCCACTGTCACACTGAACCAGACTCCCATCCTCTGTAGCATCTGGCAATCTCTTTGCAAGTTTCCACAATTCCCACAAGCTCGATAAACAGATAATCTTAAAACAGTTTTCATCACACTATGACCTTGGCCAAGATTTTCCTAATGTTCCTGTGTCTGAATCTTTTATTCCATGTATTCTGTTCTTTTTAGGCTTTAAATCTTTGCTTTGGTATTCTTCCATACAGAGAATTGTACTTCATGATTTATGTGAGGTTAACTCAAGAAGGATCTTAAATTCAAATTGATCTCTCAATTTCAACTGCACTTCTCACACTTAATAAGTAATCAAGCAACCACTTGCTTTCTAATTAGTGCATGAGATCAAAATCTCCTGGGTCTCAAAACCGCCCTTAAAGAAAAGATAAAAAGGTGGGAAGGAGAGAAACAAAAGCCTATCATAATATTTTGGGTTCATAGAAGGTATTCAACATATACCTCTTGCAGTAGCCGATCTGATTAGTAAAAACTGGTCAAATGAATGTTGTTAAGTGCCTTCGAGTCGGTTTTGACTCAGAGCTACTCGATACAGGGTTTCTGAGGAGCGACTGGCGAGATACAAAAGCCAACATTGCGGTTCGAACCGACTGTGCAGTTCAGCGCACTAACCTGTAGCACCACATCTGGTCAGATGAATGTTGTTGTTGTCAGGTGCCATCGAGTCGGAACTGACTCATAGCGACCCCATGCACAGCAGAACGAAACAATGTCTGATCCTGGGCCAACCTCACTACCACTGCCACACTTGAGTCCATCAATGATGCCACCTGGCTGATCCATCTCGTTGGGGGTCTTCCTCTTTTTCTCTGACCCTCCACCCTACCCAGCATGACATCCTTCTCCAACGATTGTTTCCTCCGGACAATATGTCCAAAGTAGGAGAGACGAAGCTTAGCCATCCTGGCCTCCAAGGAGTACTCTGGCTGCACTTCTTCCAAAACAGATCTATTGGTTCTTTCGGCAATCCATGGCACTTTCAGTATTCTCCTCCAACACCACAACTCAAAGGCATCAATTCTTCTACCATCTTCCTTATTCACTGTCCAGCTTTCGCATCCATATGAGGCTATTGAAAACACAATGGCCTGGGTCAGGCGCACCTTAGTCCTCAAGCTGACATCAGATGAATAGTGGCCAACATTTCCCACACAGCCCCTTCTTGGTCAAAAGCAAGAACTCAATACATGGTAAGTAGTAAAACAAGAGAGGATTTTCCATACTTCATAAAGGAGTTAGGCATATATGAAAAGCACTATGTGACACCAATAAGCAAACATTGATGACTATGTGCTCTAGTGAACTTGAAAGGCATGTTCATGAAGGCAAGCAGCCCCTCCTTACCTTCGTGGCATTTATATTCAAAGAGGTAAGCAATCAACTCTCCAATCTTTATCACACTTTCTGAAGACAGCAATTTATTAAGACGTTAATGATTCTCTCAAATTATTTTCCAGGTCTAAGAACCTATGTCTGACCACATTCTAGAGGCAGCCAGCCACTGCTTACTGTCTGTTTGGTTATTTCCTATAATTGAATTGGATCATTAGTCTCTGTGGTGGTCTTGACGTGACAAATTGCCTGTCAGTGAACTGGGTCGGGCCCTGCATGCTATACACGGAATACTGTCACCAGAAATGAGAACGGTACATGGAGAAAGAAAACTGTTCTTATGAAATTGAGAAGAAAACGGATCGAGACAAAGAAAGCACTGTCACATCCTCCAAGCCAAAGCTCAATCTCAGGGCACAAATGAAATGTGGTTCCGGAGGAGCCGGAAAGGGATGTGAGCATTGTCCTCCCTGCTCCTCCATCTCCCAGACCCCAGGACAAGTAGGGAGAGCTCGAGGACCTTGCACCCTACCCGGAGAGGCGGGGAAAGGAAAGGCGGGACTGACAGCAGAAGGAACGATGCCAAGACCCCACACGCGGAGTCTGCAATGGGAAGGAGGTGCTGCCTCAGACCCTGGCCCCGCCCGCTGGCAGCTGGGCAGAAAGCTTACCGCAGGACCGGACTAAGCCCGGCTGTACGGAGGTTGGTCCTCCGAGAAGGAGACAGTACCGAGTGCTGCGGGCGGCGACCGCAACTGGAAAACGATCCTCAATTAAGTAGTGAACTGGAAGCAAACCGTTCCACTACCACTTCCCATATCCGGGCACGTGACAAACCACCGAGCCGGAAGTCAGCCCCAAAGCGGAGGAAGGAGAGGATGTGTGTGTGTGAGGGGGGGGGGCGGGGAAGGGAGTGGCCAATAGACAAGGGGGGCGGGGCCCTACTGGAGGGGCGTGTCGTGTCAAGACACGACCCCGCCGGAAGGGGCGTGCCAAAGAATGGCAGGAGCTGTGCGGCTGTCACCGTCTGATGGACTTAGACCAATAGGGTTCAGTACTACGCTATGAAAAGAACTATTTTTTAAGTTGTTTTAGCAGTCCGCTTAAGAGAAAATCAACTGGAGTGTTTTAACTTTTACATTTATGACGCTTTCTTATTTTCAGTAAGTTAAGAGTAGTCCTGGTGTGGCGCTATAGGATAAGCACTGGACTGATATCACAAAGTTAGTGGTTCAAATCTACCAGGTGCTCCTTGGAAGACTTATAGAGGGTCGCCATGGGTGGGAACTGACTGATGGCACTTAACAACAGGAGAGGATATCAGTTAACGTGTTTTATTTTTTGCATTTGTGACAGTTAAAGTGTGGAGAGTTTGTTGTTAGGTGCCACCGAGTGGATACCGACTCATAGCGATATTATTCGCAGCAGAGCGAAACACTGGAGAGTTTAAATGAGTCCAATTAAAACTCTGGATGTGCGAATGAGATATTACTTTGAATAACTCCCTAGATTGTTCTAAATATGCAGTTAAGGTTGACAAGTCGTTTCTGAATCATAGTGACCCTATGTGCAACAGAAAGAAACACTGTTTGTTCCTGAGTCGTCTTCACAATTGTTATGTTTGAGCCCATTGTTCCAGCCGCTCTGCCAATCCATCTCCTTGAAGGTTTTCCCCTGATCCTCTACTTTGCCAAGCAGATATCCTTTTCCCGGGACTGATCCCTCCTGATAACATCTCCAAAGTACTGAAGAGGAAGTCTTGCCATCCTCACTTCCAAGGAGCGTTCTGGTTGTACTTCTTCCAAAACAGATGAATTTGTTCTGGCAGTTCCTGGTATGTTCAATATTTGTACCACTTACTGTGGATGCTCTTTTTTTTTTTTTCTTAAATGTTTTATTGTGAATTATGTGATAGTT